GAGTAGGACAGTGAATAGGGATGATAGAAAGAGAATTGATGCCTTTGAGCTGTGGTGCTGGAGAAGAGTGCTGAATATACCATAGACTGCTAGGAGAACAAACAGGTTTGTTCTGGAGAGGATGAAGCCAGAATGTTCCCTGGAGTCAAGGATTCTGAAGCTTTGTCTGACATACTTTGGGCATGTTGCAAGGAGGGACTGGTCCTTGGAGAAGGACATCATGTTTGGGAGAGTGGAGGGACAGCACAGGAGAGGAAGACCCTTGATGAGATGGATCGATTCTGTGAGTGGAGTGGTGGGAATGAGTGCGTTTGAGACGGTGAGGTTGGCACAGGATAGAACAGCGTTTAGGGCTCTTGTACATAGGGTCGCTATGAGTCGCAAATGACTCAATGGCACATAACAACAACAACAACATATCTAAATGAACAACTCTTATGACTATAAAAAAGCACTCTATGTCAAATACGTCAGGTATACTGGTAGGAGAGGCCAGTCCTTAGAAAAGGATTTCATGTTTGGAAAGACAGAAGGCTACAAAAGGTGAGGAAGCTCCCCCACAAGATGGGCTCCCACAAAGACTTCACTGGGCTTGGGCACAGCGGGAACGGTGAGGACAGTGCAAGGTTAGGCAAGGTTTCAATCTGCTGCATGCAGAGACTGTGACTTGGGGTTGACCTGACAACAACAACAACAAGAATCAAGTAAAATGAAGTTTTAACATGTCATATTCCCAGATTATTTCCTATTGTGGTTCACTACTTTTGGCATATAGGTCAAGATCTTCCAGTACATCAGTGGCTCTCAGTGTAGAGCCATTTGTCCTCTAGGAAACATTATATGTTAGATGGAGAAAAGCCTGACATTGTCATCAGCTTCATCATATTGGGATCCACAATCAATATACTTGGTCCCAGCAGTCAGGCGATTAGGAAAAGTATTGCATTGGGAAAGTCTGCAGTCAAGGAGAGATCCAAATCATTCAGGAACAATAATGTCAGTTTGAGTACTAAGATGCACCTGGTTAATGCATGGTCTTTTCAGTTACTCGCTATGCATCTGAGAGCTGCACCATGACATAAGGATGACAGAAGAACGATGTCTTTGAACTCTGGCATTGGAGAAGAGTATTGAATATCCCATGGACTGCTAACCCCCCCCCCAAAAAAAAACCACAAAAAAGCAAACACCAAACATGTATGTCTTGGAGCAGGTGAAGCCAGAATATTCCTTGGAGTCAAAGATGATAAAACTTCATCTCGCATATTTTGGGTATGTTGCTAGGAGAGGTTATTCCTTGGAAAAGGAAATCATACTTGGAAAGTGAAGGGATGTCAAAGGAGAGGAAGAACCTGAAACAGGTTGACTGACACAGTGACACTTAAGTGTGTCAGAGCCTATGAGGATGGCACAGGAGAAGACAGGGTTCAGATCTGGGTCCACAGAGTCACTATGAGTTGAGTCGGACTCAACTCAATGACATCTAACTACAACAGGAAACAAGAAATAATGTTTGGATGCTTTTTATCAGTGACTGGACCATCTCCTATAACAAAGAAAGCTGTGCCAATGTTGGAAAGCCCTATTTTAGGTAACTAAAATAGGGGAGAAGTATCTGTTCTCCTCATAATTAAATCAGCAGCAACTGGTAACAGTAGGAAGATCCAGTATATCCTGAGTTTGTAAAACAACTTGTGGACATTTTGCAAATCTCACAAGCACACCACTGTCATCTTTAGCCGATTCAAGAGAAGCATGCCATACTGCAAACTGCAGTGCTGAAAACTGACGTGCACTTCAGACCCAGTGAATGTGAACATATTCCAGGTAGCAGAGCACACATGAACAAGAAGCTGCTGCCAACTTTCTCAGATTAGGGTAAGTCTTGGAGCTTCTGACAATGCCAAGTTAAATACAAGAGTTGTGTCTATAAAAAGCCCTGGTGCACATGGCATAATATGTCAGGCTGCTAGTCAAAAGGTTGGTGGTTTGAACCCATGAGTTGCTTTGAGGGAAAAGATGGGCCAGTCTCCTCCCATTAAGATCTACAGCCTCAGAAACTTGCTAGAACATTGTTATGTGTTGGACTCTACTTGATGGCGGTTGAGTTTGTTCTTTTTGGTTGCACAGTGGTGAAGGCCTTGGCTACTAACCTAAAGGCTGGTAGTCTGAACCAACTTGCAGAGAAAGATGTTACGTGGAAGTCTTCTTGTAGCAAGATCACAGCCAAGGGAGTCCTCTGGAGGGACTTTTCCTTTGTCCTAAAGGACTGCTATGATTTCAAACTGTCTACAATAATAGGTCATTTATTAGGCTATACATAACTACCTCACGTCTCTCTCCAAGATCTAAAATTCAATGACCAGAGTTTCAAGGTGTGTGTGTGGGGGGGGAGGGGGCGGAATGCACAACAAAAGATCATAGTTTTTGAAATTGGTAGACTCACATGTCTTTCCTTCCCCTAACTAGCTACCCATCATCATCATCATCATCATCATCATCATCATCGTCATCATCTCAGTAGATGTTTTGACTAACATATCTGCCAAGAGCAAATACTCTCAATGAACTTCCATAATGATATGAACAATTAGATCAAAGCATTAAATCTCTCACTACTTACTGTACAACAGGTAGTCTGAGTGGACCTTAGCAATAGGACCCCCTCTAAACTAAAAGAAAACAAAAATCGGGATTCCTGTAGAGACCAGGCAGGCAGCCATGAAACAGAAAAAGGTATAGTGAAAACAAAATTTTCTACCACCCACGAGAAGTGACATTCGATGTCTCCAAGGAAATCTGTAGTTTACAGTAATTAGTTCAAGAGAAGAGAATTTAAAGAGTGGCAACCACTTCCTAAACAATATGCCTCCAGAAACTCTATGAACTTTGATAAATGTCGATAGTTGTAGAGGGGTTTCAGGCCTTTTATTCATAGAGTCATTATGAGTTGTGCTCAATTAGAAGGTAATCAACAATAAATTATTAGCTAAGTAGTCATAGATAACTATAAAATATGGTACAATGAAATTCAGCAAATGACCTACTTTTTGGAGATCACAGAATACCATCTGTGTGAGAGGTCAAAGACAAGCACTATTTAAACATCAAGCACTATTTTCTGAGTTAAAGAGTAACAGTGAAATAATTAGCAGGTGTGGAATAGCAATACTGTTTGGTAAGAATTCTTGGTGCAGTCCTATTAGTAGACAGTTATGTGGAGTAAAACCTCTTATGAACATTATTTTCCCAAAGAGGGAGAAATATTTCATGCTGTTGTTGTGTAGATTTGGAATCTACCCATAGCTCACCCTCTGGTGGGTTTTCAGAGGCGGTTAATCACATGGGAGATTGCCCATGCTTCTCCACAAATACTCTATACAGTTGGTACTTTTTCTAGATAGACCATAAAAAGCTATATGGGCTAACAATGCCGCTGAATGTCTTGGATTTTCAGTTTTTTCATAGATCAACCAGGAGACTAACTTGAACCTCTAAGATGATTCCCAGCTGTAAAATTTTGGGTTTAGGGCTCATGTTAAAATAGCTTCTCAGAGATTTATGCTGCTTCTGATAAGACATTCTTATATGGTAATAAAAGACACTTTGTTTTTTTTTTCTTCTCCCAGTTTCTCAAGTTTAAAGCTTCACTGAGACATTGTGGGGTCATGGGCACAGGCAGAGAAAAACATGAAATAAATGCAAGACAAATGATATTCAATGTCCACAGCAACTTATAGTTTTGTCTAATGATAGAGAAAAGCGATTAGCAATTTCAATCTGTTCATTATTTTTCACATTAAATTATAATCTATTAAAATGACACTTCTCTCTTAGAGAGATGTGTCATGCTTGATAATAATCAGCCAGTCAATACACCCTTGCTTGGAATTTGAGTTTGCTGTATCAAGAATTTATATCATTATGGAAGTTCACTGAGGGTATTTGCTCTTGGCAGACAGATTGGTCAACATATCTACTTAGATGACAATGATGTTCAATAGATAGTTAGGGGAAGGAAAGGTGTATGAGTCTAGCAAGTTCAAAAACTAACTGCAAGACCATTGTAAAGACATTTTTATTCTAACATTAAAACATTTTGATTTTTCCTAAAACTTCCTATTTTAGTTGTAATATTTCCATTAATGTATTATCGAAGGATTCTATGCCCACCATCCCCGAAGGCACAGATACTGAAGGCACAGATACTAGGATACTTGTCTACTAAACAAAAGGTTGGTAATGTCAGTCCACCCAAAATGGCTTGAAAGAAAGGCCAGGAAATCTGCTTCCGAGTGATCACAGCCTTGGAAGGTCTGCTCTGCAACATGTAAGGTCATCATGAGTTGGCATCAACCCAACCGCAAATATTTTATTGCTTTTTCTTTCCCCTGCTATTTCAGATGGTCACATAACCAATGTGAGTTTTCTCCTTTAAATTGAATTTTAAAATATAATATCTCTAGAAGTACAATCCTCCTCAAACGTACCACAACGTGCACCAACATGACCCATTTCTCACACTGCAGAGTCATGGAGGCTCTCTCCATGAGGCCAGATAATCTTCACTAGCATCCTAAGCACTTTATCGAGAACCAAAGAGTTCACTATCATCATCAGCACTTTAAAAATGACACTCATGCCTCTTGACTGTACTTAGAGGAGTCTGCACCTATTCCTAAGTACTCCTTTAATCTCCATGGAAGAGTGATTCCAGTCACTGGCACCTGGGAACATCTCAGCCTTCCTCCAATGAAAAATCAAATGGGCAGAAAGGTACAAGAGCGTTGGAGCACAGAGTGGCGATGGTGGTCTTACTCCTGTTACCTTCAAATCACCCTGTAATAGAAAGTCATTTAAATAATATCTTTCTAGTAATTCTAAAATGTACATGACAGAAATCTCTTATTCAAGAAGAATATTATTCATTTTATAATAAAAATATAATACCCAATTAGAACCAACTGACCAACAGATTTTGAGTTTTACCCCATACTGACCTCTCCCGAGGAACGGCAAACCAGTACTCGGGTTGTTTTCTTCGTTTGCCATACTGCTGGACCATGGCGGCAGTGTGCGTGGCAAAGGATTTTCTCATTGGTTTTCCCACCTTGATGCACAGAAACATGGGAGGAGTCTTGCTTTTCTCTTCTTTTGAAGGAAGTATATCTGAATCATATATGGAAAAAAAATACCCTCAATGCCAACAATTTCTGTAACCATGAAACTTTGCAAATGAAGACAAAGCATATGGTAGAACACAAAATGATATCTCAACAAGGCTGATTAAATTTTACTGACCTTCTTTAGCACAAAAGGAAAAAACTTTGGATGTTTCAGTTGGGTCTATACCCTGTATAAAGTTACATACTGAAAATAAGTACTCAAATTGACACAATAAAAAAATGTAGGTAATTGAAACAAAAGGCAAAAAGAACAGTATTGATGACCTTTACCATCATGTTGCAAAACATTTAGAATGCAAATATTGTAAAAAATAGATTTTAAACTTCTTTAGTTTTGTAAAGTTAAGGGGAAGAAATCACTTGAAAGATTTTGCTTTTCAAAGTAAACTACCTGTGAAATATAACCCTATCATAGGTCAAATTCCGTAATAAGATATAGCATGTTAATTGCTAGTAGTCTAATAGTAAGGAGCTGTGCGGTCAATCTGAGGGCACATATCCAGCTGCTCTGAAGGAGAAAGAGGGGAAAAAAAATCTCCTCTCATGTGATTGACTGCCTCGTAAAATCAACGGGAGGGACAGTTAAAAGTTGGTTCTGACTCAAGGGCACATACCAACAATAATCAACAAAGATACTTTATACTGAGAAAATAATGACTGGTCTAAAACATTTTTACTACAATTGCTATTGCATATGGAAGTTTTAGAAAGGCAATTATCCAATGATTAAAAAGACATTAAAGGAATACAACATACCTTCAATGGGTACCTGAATTCTCTTTAATAGCCACAGCTGAATTTCAGATTTATTATCCATTTGTGCACCTTGGCAGCTGTTGTCCAGAGAAGATTCCAAAGAGGAGTCTTGGGACTCTTTAATGATATTTTCTTCTGTAGAAGGGCCCAGTTGCAGAGGAAGAGGTGGGATCTCTTTCACCCAGGTTTTATCTGGCTTTTTATTTCCCTCAGTTGGAAGATCATTTGCCTGGGGAAGAGAACTGCTAAGAGTAATGTCTATTCCTAGGGGTCCAGTACTTTTGTCGTCACTTAATTCTGTCTTCTGCAAGTCTTCTGGGGACAGTGACCCTTCTCTGTTTTTATTAAGGTAATATTCAATAAGTTTAACTTTATCTAAATCTTTGTGTATGTTCAGTGTGTTTTCCACTTGGTTTTCCGGGGAGCCAGATTGCTTGTCCACTTCTGGCATTATATCTTGCTTTTCACAGGCTTCTAAATCTAAGGCCCCCTTGAGTTCAGCATCATTCTCTGCTCCTGAAAAGTTCAGGGTTGACTGCATCTGTTTTTCTGTAGCAGAACTAATTATTTGTGACTTAGCTTTCCTTAGATCCTCTGGGTCAAGGCACTCCTTTGCATTATCTCTTTTGTCCATCCCACTCTCAGTTTGAGACGAAAGTTCCTCTAAGTCAACAAAGTCATCATCTTCCACTAACAGAGAGTTTTCTTTGGCTGTAGAGTCAAAAGCAGTGTCAGGAGGTTTCTTGCTGACTCCAGTCACTGTGGAAGATCTGTTGGTTGCCTCTAGGGAGGGCTTGAGTTTCTCTAATTTTCCTGATACAGGGCTGACTGAGGACTTCACAGGTCTATCATCAGCTGACTTTTCCAAAGGTCTTGTTGATTTGGCATCTGTACTGATGGCTCTTTCTCCATTCTGCTGCCGTTTTTCCTTATTAAGAGATTTAAACTTACTGAAGGGGTTGATATCCTTTTCAGAAGCTAGGTCTTCCCATTCTCCAGGCCTGTACAGAGGACAAAGATCCTGAGGTAGGTCACTGTTGAGGAAAAATGGTGGGTGCACATGGAATGTTAAGAGCAAAACCAAAAACAAAAAGGAGGAAGGGCAAAACCAAAACAAAACCCAACTAAAAACCAAAACATAAATAAGCTGCAACTTAAATTTATGCTTAAATGATTTCAGAATAAGGAAATGAAATGAATAAATTTACTTAAAAAAGCAACATAAGTTAACAAAAGGAAGTGGCAAAATAAAGAACTGTGATGTTGCAAATTCTACTAGCAGCATGTGAATGGTTTCAGAAATCATGTATGAACATGAAAATGTCATCCAACGTATTTTTAAAGACGAAATACTGAAGTTTCTAATTTTCCAGAAGGAAAAGATAAAGGATAGAAAATATTTTAGCAGAAGGAAAAGATAAAGGATAGAAAATATTTTAGCAACAGTGGCTAAAATTCCTTAAATATTCAAAGCTTACACTTTCATAAAATAGTCTAACTACATTAATTCTGAACGATTTATTTACTTACCAACTATTAATTATACTGTCAGTTACTGTCTGTGACCTTTCATTTTGAGAAGCAAGAATTGGACCTAATGTTTTAAATAATACATATCCTCTCATTCTTGAAGTAGATACAAGATGTGTGTGTGTGTGTGTAGCTGTTACCTCTTTACAATTTTAAAAATTTTTTTCCTTTACAATTTTTAAATATGCAGGAAAGAAATCTGGTTTGTCAGCTGAAGTATATTAATAAAAAATGTTTCACTACCTAGAGTTAACTTATAAAGAAATACTGATTTTCAAGAGTAGGATAAATTGTCAAGAAGTTTATTTTTTTAAACTGTGCCTAGTAATATCTTGAGTGACCCTGTATTTTCACTCACCTCATTAATGAATTAAAACTGAGTTATAAAACTGCCTTTCAGAAAGAAAATCCTCAAGTTTTAAAAATATTTTTTTATTCTAAAAAGATTAGATCATATTCAAGCTATACTTTGCCTGTTATTTTGTACCAGGCAATTCTTAAATTAGTAGAGCGCAGGCTGTTTCTTCAAAGCTATTTTATGCTCACTTGCATGGAACACCTATGCTTTTTATAAATAAAAAAATAAAAGAAATTTTAGGTTTTGAGAAATGCTTTAAAAAGCATCTTTCAAATTTCCTCAACATAGTAAAAAGTATATACATAAAACCAAGAGCCAACATATGTTCTCAATGGAGAGAAAAGGAACTAGGCAAGGATGCCCACTATTACCTCTCCTCTTCAATATTGTATTGGAAGTCTTAGAGATAGCAATAAGACAAAAGGAGGAAATAAGAGGTATCTAACTTGGCAAAGAGAATGTAAAATTATCTCTATATGCAGTAATATGATAGTATTTTTATAAAACCCTAAAGACTCAGCTACAAAATTCCTGGACATAGTCAATCAATTCGGCAAAGTTGCAGGAATGCAGATCAACATATAAAAATAACTTAATTTCTCTACAGTGACAAAGAGGATACAAAAATGGAGCTAAGAAAAAAAATACCCATCACAATAGCTAATCACAAGATTAAATACGTGGGAATAAATCTCACTAGAACCCCAAAAGATCTATTCGAAGAAAATTATAAAACATTACTACAAGAAACAAAAAGAGACCTGGAGAAATGGAAGATTATACCATGCTCATGGATAGGAAGACACAGCATTATGAAAATGACAATTCTATTAAAGGGAATCTACAAGTTCACTATAATCCCAATACAAAGCAATTTTCAATTTCATCTAGAATGGAAAGAGATCCCCAAATAAACAAAGCATTCCTGAAAAAAAAAACACCAAAAAACAAAAACAACAAGGTAGGAGACTTATCATTCTTTGATCTTAAATGTTACCTATAGCCATGGTGGTCAAGACAGCATGATACGGGTAGAATGACAGAAACATAGCTCAAAGAAATATAATTAAGAACCCAGAAGTCAATTCATCTATCTATGGTCAATTGATCTTTGACAAGGAGACAAAATCAGTTAAGTGGGGAAATGAAATCCTCTTTAACAGTGTCGGCAAAATTGGAATGTTATCTATAGAAAACTCAAGCAAGACCCACACCTCACACCATACACAAAAACCAACTAAAAGTGGATCAAGAACTTAGGAGTAAAACCAAAAACTATAAGCATCACCAGAGAAAAGCTTGGGAGATCTCTAGACCCTAATCCACCATAGGAACAGTCTTCCAGGCATCTTGAAAAATCTATAACCAGAGAAGAAGAAAATAGATGAATAGGTCCTTCTAAGAATTTAATCCTTATGCACATCAGAAAACATTTCCAACAGGGTAAAAAGGAAATCCACAGTCTGAGGAAAATATTTGGAAATGATATATCTGATAAAGGACTCATATTTAAAATTTAAAGAATACTCCAGCACCTCAACAAAAAAATGGCAAACAACCCAATCACAAAATGGGCACAGGATATGAATAGAGACTTCACCAAAGAAGACATTCAGATGGTAAAAAAAATACATCAAGAAATGTTCAAAATTCCTAGCTCTACAAGAGGTGCAAATAAAAACAACTATGAGGTGTCATCTCACCATAGTAATAGTCAAGTTCAGCAGAGCAGCAAACAACGAATGCTGACAAGGTTGTGGAGAATGCTGGAGAGGCTGGGGAGACATTGGAACCCTTATTCACTGCTGGTGGGAGTGTAAAATGATACAACCACTAAGGGAGGCAGTATGGCACTTTCTCAAAAGGTTGGAAATAGAAATACCATTTGACCCAGCAATTCCACTACTGGAAAATACCGTAAAGAAATCAGAGCTGCCACCCAAATAGATATATGAACACCATGTTTATTGCTGCTTTGTTCATAACAGCAAAGAGATGGACGCAATGTAAGTATCCATCAACAAATAAGTGATAGAGAATACTATGTAGCACTGAAAACCAAGGAACTCATAAATATTTTACAAAATGTGACCCTGGAGGACATCATGCTGAGTGAAATATCTCAGGCATAAAGGACAAATATTTTATAAGGCCACTGATACAGAGTGAGACTGGCATGGGGTTGGGGGAAACTGAGAAAAGAAGGGATAAATAATGAATACTGCTTTGGAACAGATGAGGGAAAGAACTGTTTAAAAGAAAAACATTTTAGGCACTATTTGCATGGCAACAGTCCAAATAAGAGATGCATAGTAAAGTGGACTGGTATGGATGGAGGGAGGCAATTATGCAACAATGAATAAATTTTTTAAAGAAAAAAATAACTGGGGGTGGGAGGGAGGAAAATGTGCAACAATGAATGAAAGAAATCCAAGTTTTCTGTAAACATTTGTTATAATCACAATAAATAATTATTTATTAAAAAGAAAAAAGAAATATCATTTGATCCAGCAATTCCACTGCTGGAAATATACTCTAAAGAAACTAGAGCTGTCAAACAAACAGATATATGCACACCCATGTTTACTGTTGTGTTATTCACAATAGCAAAGAAATGGAAGCAACCCAAGTGCCCATCAACAAATGAATGGATAGAAAAAATATGATATATTCATATAATGGAATATTATGCACTGAAAAACAAGGAGTTCATAAAATATCACACAGCCTGGGTGACCCTGGAGGACATTATGCTGAGTGACTCAGTCACAACAGGACAAATACTATATAATACAACTGTTATAAAATAGGACTGACATGAGGGTTTGAGGGAAACTAAGAAAAGAGGGGATAAATAATGAATACTGCATTGGAACAGATGAAGGAAAGAATTGCTTGAAAGGAATATATGATTAGGCATTGTATGTATGACAACAGCCCAGAATAAGAGGTACACTGCAAAGAGGACAGGATTGGGGGTCAGTAATTGGGCAGCAATGAATTAATAATGAAACCAAAAAAGTGAACTGGGGGAGGAGGAAGGAAGGGAGCAGGAGTAAAATGTGCAACAAAGAATAAATGAAAATCTAACTTTTCTGTAAATTTTTGTAAAAAACACAATTAAAATAAAAATTTTTATTTTCAAAAAGCCTCTTACTTCATCTTCTTTCCAATTCAACAAACTTTCATTGAGTCACTAAGTGTCAGATGCTCAAAAGAGAATTCTTATGTCTCTGTTTTGTAAGCACGTGTGTACACCGGCAGCAGCAGCGACAGTAGTAGCGGCAGCACAGAATGTTTTGTCCAACACCAGCATCCCAGAAGATGCTAAAGCTGCATCGATTTTAGAATCAAATAACTTACTGTAATGATGTTTAACTTCCATATCGGGACTCAAAGTTTAATTTGGCATATAATAGCCATAAAAAATCCTGCCACAAAGAAATCAGCTTTCCAGAGAGTTCATTTATAAATGATGCTTTCTTACAAAAACATCCAAGTCCCTTCCATATCTCTTCCTTTTCTACCTAGTTTGCTTCACTTCCAAAGAATCCATTCAATGTCCCCCTATTAGCTACCTAAATTACCTTGCTCATGCTACTCTTTTTATTTTATTGTCCAATTATTTTATTACAAGCTACCAGTTCTTTATTCAGGATTAATTAATCTATTACATTTTTTGCATTGTGGTTCTCAAGTTTTGCTGGGGCAAAGTGCATGATGGTGTCAATTGTTTTAGTTGCTAATTAATGCTTTCAAGAATATGCTAGGCATCTAATGATGATTAATAATAATCCTTTCACTTACCTATTCCTATTTTCTAAGGCAGTTACAGTTACAAGATGTCACACACACAGACACACATACACACCCCCCCCCGAAGTTGAGGCTAGAAGGATTTACACTCACATACTCTCCCACAATTTGCACAATGCAGTTAGATAAGTGATACTTATTTGCCACACAATTTTCAGTAAAATTAAATGTAAAGTCATTTTAAAACTTTCTCTAAATGATGAAGTTCTGAAGAGAGCTCGAAGTCATTTCACACTGATGCCTCTCATGCATCCTATTCTGTCCATCTGTGCACATACTGTTCATTAGATTAAAAACTGTTTATATGTTGCGTCCAAAAAAAATCAGTGCATCCTGGAACAATTTTAATAAATTCTTAACTCTCCTCTCTCCAACTCACAGCATTATCTCTCTTCTAGATCATTCACGTTGAAAGAAATCTTTTTGTCTACATGTATATTTCATTTCTATTATTAAACAGAACACTTATCACCCTAGCCTGAAAATGTGCACTAGTGTTACTCTATTAGAAACAAGTGCCTGCCCAGAAAAAATCCTATTTGTTTAACCATCTTCTTTCCAATTTATCTGTTCTCTTTACCTGGATCAGAACACATTTATCTTCATATCCTTGAGACAAAAAGGTGTATACTGAAGTGCATTAGAAGCCTGAATCTGCATGGATAATAAGATGCCCATGAGTCAATGGAATCAAAGCTGCAGTTAAGAATTAAAGGTTCAAATATAAACAGTCTTCCAAGTATCCTGAAAAACCTACAACCAGAAGATAAAATAGATGAATGGGATCTTCTAAGAATCAAATCCCTATGCACATCCAAAAACTTCTCCAACAGGGTGAAAAGCCACAGACTGGGAAAAAGAATTTGGTAATGACATATCAGATAAGGGACTTATATCTTGAATTTATATAATACTTGAGCACCACAACAAGATAAAGGTAAATAATCCAATAGAAAAATAGGCACAGGATATGAACAGACATTTCACCAAAGAAGACATTCAGATGGCTAACAAGCACATTAAGTTCAAAATCCCTAGCTCTAAGAGAGACGCAAATTAAAACAACTATGAGATATCACCTCACCCCAGTCAGAATAGCAAAAGAACAGCAAGCAACAAATGCTGGTGAGGTTGAGGAGAAACTGGAACCCTTATTCACTCTTGGTGGGAGTGTAAAATGGTGCAACCACTGTGGGATGGGGTATGGCTCTTTCTCAAAAAGTTGCAAATAGAGATACCATGTGACCCGGCAATTCCACTACCGGGAATATACCCCAAAGAGACCATAACTGACATCGAAGCATATATATGCACACCCATGTTCATGGCAGCTTTGTTCACAATAGCTTGGAAACAACCTAAAGGCCCATCAATAAACAATGGATAGAGAAGCTGTGGTATATTCACACAATGGAATACTATGCTGCATTGAAAAACAAGGAGGGGAGTTCTGGTGGCCTAGTGGCAAGAAGCTGCAGTGCAATCCCAGAGGCACACGGTTCAAATCCACCAGATGCTCTGCCGGGAAAGGAGGGACAATCTCCTCCTGTACCAATCAGATCCAATTTTACAGTACACACACACACACACAAATTAGGAAAAAAAAAGAAAATCAAGGAACTCATGCAATGTTATTCAAAATGGGTGACCCTGGAGGACCTTATGCTGAGTGAAGTATCTCAGTCACAAAAGGACAAATACTGCAAGGTGCCACTGTTGTAAAACAGGACTGACATTAGGGTTGGCAGGAGACTGAGAAAGATGGGTTCAATAATGTATTCTGCATTGAAACAGATGAGGGAGAAAACTGTGTAAAAGGGATATGTGATTGAGTAGTTTCTGTCATGATAGTAGTCCAGAGCGAAGGCTGCATAGTGGAGTAGACCTGGGGGAGAGTTTGTAAAACAATGAAAAAATTTTTCTTTTACTTTTCCAAGAGGGTAGTGTATTAGGGGGAGGGTTGGGAGGGGAGAAAAGTGCACAATGAATGAATGGAAACCCAAAGTCTCTGTAAATTTTCATTTAAATGAATAATTAATTTAAAAAAAAATAGGGGAAAAAAGAATTAAAGGTTCAAATAATAACAATCTATGTGTTGAGCACCAAAATATCTTTTCAGATAACCTTCGCATACATCGATTCATCAAGTCCTTCCAACAACCTTATAAACTAAGGTTATTAATTCCATTTTACAGATATGGAAACTGAGATTTGAGACAGAATAACTCATGTTAGTCATAAACCATAAGGGACAGAGTCATGAACCCCAGAGGTGAGGCTTCAGACTCAATCATCACACAAAACTATTCCTTACCCTCTTGCTTTGAACACATTTGGGAATAAAATTTAGAAACTACCCATGCTCTGGTGGTTGCTTCAGTGGCTTGGGGTAGGAATTGACTGAGTGGATCAAACACTAAATCTCTACAACTTCTGTCTCGATTAGCAACTGGTTGGTTACCTTCCTTTCTTTTCCTGTAACAATCTCAAGGGATAGTTTCCTTTTGTCCTGTTCTCATCTCAAATTACAGCTGTTGAACTGGAACGAACTCACAGCTGACTCTCAATTGAGTTTGTTGTTGTTTTGTACCATCCAGTCAGAACTGACTGATAGCTAACCCTCTACCGGGTTTTCAGAGGCAATGCATGGGGGCGGTATTGCCTATCGTTCTCCCACAGAGCAACTGGGATTGCAGCACAGTTTCTGACCACTAGGCCACCAGAGAGAGCTCCGTTTCCATTTGGCTTAAGAGGTTGGATTTAAACTGTTTTGGATATCAACAGTTTTTAATCTAATGGACAGTATGCGCAAAAACGAACAAGACAGGATGTATGAGTGAAGTCAGCCTGGACTTTGAATTGCATGGAAGGAGAATGCCCATTTTCTCCCTTGGAGCTGCCAGTAGATTTAAACCTTTGGATTAGTAGCAACCTCCATACTGACACAGTTTTGCCTCTTCTTTCCTAGCACTGAATGCTTCTAAGAATTCTTGTGGCTAGCATATGTTGAGAAAAAGACACAATGACAATATGACAGAAGAAATCAGACTATATTCCTAGAAGATGATTAGTTCTCTAAGCTTTCCAAACATTTTCTTCATGGGAGCACTTCCTTCTCCTTTTTACAACAGATGCATCATGGTAAGGCAAACGTAATCAGAAATACTTCAAAAGAAAACAAACCACTGTTCTTCGCTACTTACTCCACTTAAGGTAGCCAAGGTATAGGGAAGGCAGAGAAAGTCTGCTGGATGCAGGAACAAGCAGACAGGAGAATACTATCTGTTTTGGAATTTAAATGAGGAAGAGAAAGAAAAGGACGAAGAGGAGAGAAGGCAGAGGGCAAGGATTGAGAGGTAGAGGGAGGAGGAGAAGACACTTTTAGGCTCAATTTTTTCTTATTGTTGACTTTGCTATTTTAATTTCCTCTCATTTTACTATTTGAAAATTAGACCACAAAGTTTCCAACTTGAATTCTATCTTTATACAATCCCTTTTCCCTGCAAATAACCTCTATTTTAAACCAGCTTTGATTATCTCAAGACATTTTTCTCCTCACACAGGTAACAAAAGAAAGGCGTCTTACGAGGGCAGGGCATCTTTGATCTTCATGTGGGAAATGTCGTTGTAGAGGGCAATGGAAACCACCTCTTCCATGGGGCAGATGAGGCCGTACTCCTCACACCCATTTTCAATTACCAGAGGATCGGACTTGTGAGGGTCGAACATGATGTTGTTGGGAGTGACAATCATGACGCCTCCAACTACACCCTGCAGGAGAAACAGTCAGAACAGTCACCACAGACAGGCATGCTTTCAACAACCACTATACATGCTTTGTAATTAGCTAGTATGACCATTCCATTGGCTCTGTGACCCAAAGCATTAGTATTTTATATAGCCATCATACTTCTAAATGTGGGCCAAAAAAAGCACTGTGAGCTTCCATGTGGTGGGGCAGAAGGACACTCAGGAGACTGGACACTTGCCTTTCTCTGGCATTCACAGTGACCTTGGTTCTAGCACTGCCAGTGCAGCATCACAATTACAGCATGATGTTTGGTCATTGACGTGTGTCTCAGATTCTCCAGGTGCATGTCCGTAAAGTGAGAGGGGTTGCTCTAGATGTTTTCTAATCAAAACACTGCAAGTTTTCACCACAAGTCAATCAGATACATGATCTTGTGAGAAGGTTATGTGAAAAAAAAAGTCCTACTCTTTTGTCTAAAATGCTTACAAATTAATTCAGCAAAGACCCAACAAGGAGAACATTAAAAGTCATTTGTAGCCAAAACTGAATGTAACTGACCTATGGGAATCAAATACTTCCTGTCAGTTTTTCATACAATGGTGATATGTATCATGAAGCCAGACGTTATGTTATCACTATTTCAAATACTATCAGGGTTATCCATGAAGACAAGAGCTTCCAGACTAAGTAGTTGTTGTTAGGTGCCATTGCGTCAAGTGCAACCATACAACCAACAGATCTGAATCCTGTTCTATCCTGTGCCATGCATGAGCAGATGATTTTTACCAACAAAAATGTATTCTTTACAAGTTATAAGGTTAGAAGCCTATATTCAAGGCGCAGCTCGAGGGGGACACTTTTCCTTCATGTGTCTCCTGGAATCTTACAGAAGAACTAGATAACTCAAAGGAAAAAACAGTCACTCCCTGAGATCAAAAAATGTGAAGCTTGGTCATATCCCATTAGAGAGACCTTGATATTGAGGGAGTAATACTACCTGAAATAGCAGGATGCAGATGACGAACAATTTATTGTGTCCTCATAATAAGTTCATCAATCATTTGTGCAAGAAGTTTTGAAGTTTAGTAATATTTATTTTGGCATGTGAAAGGTATAAATGCATTTCAATAGCATGCTTTCCTATTATTCAGATCTTGACAAAGTATTATGAACACAGGAACTCATTTTACATAATGTTGCTTCTTCTTGAGACATTTACCAAAATTTGTATTTGTTCTTTGTAAAAAACATCAGCAATCAAAAAACTGTACAGCATGACACAGAAAATATTACTTTTGATTTCAGTATCATCACCAATAAACACAGAAAAATGTATAATTTTCCAGGTTAGGTGCTAAGCTTTTTCATTGTGTCTTTTAATTACTATTAGGGAGCTCTGTTGGCCTAACGGTGAAACCGCATGGCAATCCTGAAAGTATGCAGTTCAAATCCACCAGATGCTCTGCAGGAAAAGGATGGACAATCCTTTCCCATGGATTCAGTGCCTCTGTAAACCCACTTGAGGGTCAGCTTTGTGTCACTTCAGACTTGATGGTACTCAACAACAACAATTACTATTAATTAAAATACTGAAGTATGCTTCATTCAAGCAAAAAAAAAAATTGATGCCTTTGAACTGTGGTGCTGGTGAAGAGTAATGACTAGTCCATGAACTGCCAAAAGAGTAAGCAAGTTTGTCCTGGAGGAAATGAAACCAGGGTGCTTCTTAGAGGTGCAGATGGTCACACTTATCTCACAGACTTTGGGTATGCTGTCAGGAGTGACTAGTCCTTGGAAAAAGACATGCACGGAAAGCTAGACCCTCAACAGGATAGACTGACACAGTGACTACAATAATGGATCTGAACTGATCATATATTGTAAGGATGGTACAGGACAGGCAAAGTCTGGATCTGCTGTTCACAGGGTTGCTATGAGTTATGGTTGACTCGACAGTACCTAACAACCACCAGCACCACCATATTGATTAAGTTTAATTACTGTTCTTATTTTATAGAGAAGGAAAATGGAAGCTTGTTGTTGTTTTGTGGTGTTGAGTTGGTTACGACTCATAGCAACTCTACGAACAATATCCTTGAACAGTGCCCTGTCCTGAGCCAATCTCAGTCTCTGGCACACCTATCCCTACTGCCACAGTCACTGTGTGAATCCATCACAACTAGTGTCACCCCCTTCTGTACGGACCCTTTATCCTCCCAAGCATGATGTCCTTTCTAGAAGGAATAGTACCTCCTGGCATCATGTCCAAAGTATGTGAGATGGAGTTTCAAACTCTTTGCCTCCAAGGAGCAACCTGCTTTCATCCTCTCCAGAGTAAACCAGGGTATTCTCTGGAAGTCCATGGTATGTTAAATACTCACCTCCAGCAATACAACTGAAAAGTATTGATTTTTCTTCCATCATCCTTATTCACTGTCCAATTCTCAGATATACAGAAAGTAATTGAGAAGACCATGTCCTGGATCAGGCACACCTCGGTCTCTAGTCTGACACTGCTGCTCTTCAGCACTGTGGTGAGGTCCCTGACAGAAGACTTTCCTAAAACAATTAGTCTTAATTTCCCGACTGCTGGTGTCAATAGTTTTGATTGTTGACCTGAATAAGATGAAATTGTTAACAACATCAATCTTTTCTCCATCTATCATGATGCTGTCATTTGGCCTGGTGGTAAGAATCTTGGTTTTCTTGATGTTGAGATGCAATCCATATTGAAGACTTCAGTCCTTGACCTTCTGCAGCAAAGGCTTCAAGTCCTTCTCACTTTCAGTAAGAAAGGTTGTATTCACTCAAAATTCAGGTTGTTGATGAGTCCTCCTCCAATCCTGATGTCACATTCTTCTTCATAAAGCTCAGCCTCCCAGATGATCTGTTCTGCATATAGATTGAAAAGTTATGGAGAAAGGATACATTCCCAACATACTCCTTTCTTAATTCTGAACCACGTAGTGTTCTCTTCACTCTGCACGCACAGCTGTTTCCTGGTATAGGTTTTGCATGAGCACAATCAAGTATTCTGGGATTCTCATTATTCTCAAGATTAGCCATAATTTGTTGTGAGCTACATAGTCAAAAGTCTTTGAATAGTCAATAAAACACAAATGGACATTTTCTGGTACTCTGCTTTCAGCTAATATCTATCACACATTGGCAATGATATTTCTAGAGCTACAGTCTCTTCTAAACCCAGCTTGTATTTAAGGCATTTCGCTTTCAATGTCTTTTCTAGTCTTTTTTGGATAACCTTCAGCAAGATTTTGCATGCATGTGTTACTAGTGATATTGTTTATTAGTGATATTATTCAATGATTTCTGCACTCTGTTGGATCATTTTTTGAGAATGGGAATAAATATTAATCTCTTCCATTCAGACAACCAGGCAGATGTCCTGCAGATTTCTTGGCATAACCTGGTGAGTACATCCAGAGCTACATCTGTTTGTTGAAAAATGCCAGTTGGTATTCCATCAATTCCTGGGACCTTATTTTTCACCAACTCTTTCAGAGCATCTTGGAATCCCCCTTTATTATCATTGTTACTTGAACATATGCTATTTCATGAAATTCATCTATTCTCAGCCAATTCTTTTCAGTACAGTGACTCTGTGTTCTTATTTTATAGAGGAGGAAAACAGCAAGCTTAGAAAATATAAATATCATGCCAATGGAGAAGTCTGTTGCAAAGGACATCTTTAAGCTGCTGAAGAGCAAGAATATGATTTTGAGAACTAAGGTGCATATGATGAATGCCATGCATGTAAAAGTCTGACAGTGAATAAGGAAGACCACAGAAGAACTGATGTCTCTGAACTGTAGTGTCAGTGAAGATACTGAACATATCCTAACTACCAAAAGAACAAACAAATCTATGTTGGAAGAAGTGCATCCAGAGGCAAGGATAAAAAGAGTTCATCTCACATACTACAAGCATGTTGTCAGGAGAGTCAAGTCTCTGGAGAAAGACGTCACCTTAGTAGAGAGGCAGTGAAAAATATGATGGATTGACCCAGTGCCTACAACAATGGGCAAAGCACAAATGAGATTGTAAAAGGACAGTGCAGAGAGGAGCAGTATTTCAGTGTGTTGTAATCTAAGTTCACCATGAGTCACCGTAGACTGGATGACCCAATCAACACAATAGCAGTTCTACAGATGAGGAAAACTGAAGCTCATAAAATATTAACACCATACCTGTGATCTCAGAGATAATGGCTGACAGAGTTGGAATTCAAATTCATTGAGTCTAACTCTAGAATTTGTTAAATATTTACAATACTGCATTCCTACAACTGAAGGATCAAGAACTAAAAGATACAATACTTAATCCAAGGTCACAAAGAAGCCCATTTTGACTCAAGGGTCACATTGCTTCAATAAGTAAAACATGAGGCATCTTAAATGAAGACTACTGGGCACTAGCCCAATAACAGACTAAGATATTTTAATGTAACAACTCTTCCAGTAATTTGGAACAGCATTTAATTTTCCACAGATTCCCAGAAAGGGATGCAAACTGCACTGTTACATACCTTTCCATCAGTGAAGTATCGACAATTCATTTTTAAAAATTTTACGACTCCTGGCTCATCTTCCTCAGATGTAGATGATAAAACTCGTTCAATGGGTTTTAAGGCCTTTCTTGCTAAGTCAGCATCCTATAGAAAGTAAAAATTTACCAAAGAAAACAATGTAGTTACGTAAAGTATTTTTTTCTGGATTTAATTTGAACAGTTTATTTTTTTAAAAAAAATATTATTCTTTCATTGTTGCACATTTTCTTCCCCCTTCACCTCTCCCCCAGCCCATTCTGCAATGTACTTCTTGTTCCAGACTGTTGTCATACATATAATACCGAATCATATATTCCTTTCAGATTGCCTTCCCCTCATCTGTTCCAATGGAGTGTTCATTATCTATCCACTCTTTTCCTATTCTCCTCCCCTAATTTGTATACTTTAAAAGGGCCCAAATCCTTTGCCTTTCAAAAATAACCCAAATCACTCTAAGATAAAATGGATGAGTACAAATAAAGTCCCAGTGTCATCAGGAATTTAATTTCATAATTTTACCATAGTCATGCACATCTGACTTTGAGGTCTAAGTGTGAGCAGACTTCTCTTGCTTGATTAGGATGTGTCCTAATGACAAATTACTTTACCTACTTATTTGAGGAAAATTTTAGATGTAACCTTATGAGAAATACCATGTAGAATTGTATAATTCACAAAAAAAGGTCTTTTTGATAAGAATGAGTCTCAGTGCACGAAAGACATACATACAGGCAGCTTGTCATATTCTGCATCTGATGATGAAGGAGAGACAGTAGCACCAGGGCTAGATGATGATAACCTTAAGGTACTGGCAGGGAAGTTGGCATCTGGCACAAAAAGGACCTGAGAATGGAAAAAGAAATGCTGAGTAAGTAAGAAGAATAAGGCAAGCCACTAGCCGATGCTCGTACACTGTGTGATGCTAGGCCTTTGCTTAAAACCCAACTGGATTTCATGCATCTCATCAGCTAGGTGGGTCTTCCAGACTAATCTATGGAACAATACTCAGCAGTATAAGAATGCATGTTGCGAGAAGTTATTGAACACAATTTTAGACACTGCAAGTGCTTACAAAAGAGCAAAGTGGTAGTATTTAGGGCAAGTCATGTGAGGCTGGTGTGTTCATGTGAGTGAAGCCTTGAAGAGTAAGTAGGATTGGATATGCAGGGAGGAAGAACCTTCTAGGGAAGGGGTCGTATTCAAGGGAATAGAGGAAAGAGAAGCATAGCACGCTCCTCCAGGTAGCAATGGAACATATCAAGGCTGGAAAACTCCAAGCAGACTATGTGCTAAAGTAAGAAAAGTCCTTAAGTGAAGCATCATACAAGGAAATAGCAATACAATAATTATAGCGTTTTATTCATCTGTGTCTAAGTTATGCAAAAACAAAACAAAAACCAACAGATTGCTTAAAACAGTCTCCCTCTAAAAGAAGTCCTGATTCCTCAATGTTAATTTTATCCTGCCTCCCAATACTCTTTTAATGAGACATGCTACATTTTGGTGTACAGCAAACATATTCTTAAAATAACAGTCTTTAATATCAGAAAACTTACGTAAAAGCTAATCATAAAACCCACTGATCAATATTGTTTTTCACTGTCTCTATTCCTTTTCTCTCTTTTACCATTAGTCATTTCCACTTGAAGCTAACCAAGAAAAACTAGAGGCAACAATAAAATATGCAATAAAAAAAAGTAGAAAAGTCAAAGTCAAGGAGAAAGAAATGAGTACTGACTATTACTGAAAAGAAGGGTCTCCAAAATCACCACTGAGGGTTGGGCTAAAACTGACTGAGTTTCCAACCAACCAATAGAGAGAAAGAATTAATTATTTTAGCCAATTAGTCAAGAATTCCATTTTCATAAAAAAAAAAACAAAACACCAGTTTCTCAGAAGGGCAAGCATTTTCCCATGAGATTTCATTGATGGGCAAGGTCCAATGGTGATTAATGTTAAAAAACATGATGCATGAGAATGATTTTATGAAACACAATATGAATAGTGTGAAATACAATGTATATGAACTTCATAAGCAAATAAATTTTTTTTAAAAAAAAGAAGGAGTGGGGTGGGAAGTGTCTTGGCCTGACCTGAACGTGAACTATTGAACTATTAGGACTCAACGCACGCACAGTGAATACAACAGTTTGCTATTCTTCAGTTCTGGTATCAGTGGCAAAACCACCAAAATTCAATTCTATAAAAGCAACTTTACAATGGGCTCGAAATGGTTTGGTTTGAGTGTAAAGCTGGCTTATCCTTCATATTTCACAGAGACAAATAAGTGAATGGCCAAGTCTTTTTTTTTTAATCTGAGATTTTAAAATGTATTAGGCAATACAAGTTGTGCATTCTAAATGACAAATCAACAGGGTAATTCTTTGCTTACTAGTTGTGTGATAGACAGTTGATATCTGAAAACTGGGAAGCTCTGTTACAACACAGAAGGGAGCCCAGGTCATGGGCAAGGGTGCTACTGTCCTACTACTGCTCATGGTAAAAAATTCTGCATTTATTTCAATACATAAGGCAATGAAGATCTGAGGTGCTAAAAGTCTTTAGAGTAAGGCTGTCAACCTTAGCTTTTTTTCTCCAAGTATGTATTTTTTAAAAAGTCATACAAATTGCAAAAATTATATTCTTTGTCTTCTAAATTAAAAAAAATACTTTCATAGATCCTCAAATATCAGAAGCATTGTAGATCCTTGAAATATCAGAACTTAGGACCAAACACAGGATCTTATGGGGGAAAAATAATTATGCCTCATTTCTTTAAAGTTTTTCTGAATTTTTATTTTTTAAAGCAATAAATTTAGAGTAAGATTTTAATTTAATCAGTGCTCAGATAACATCTTCTGAAAATCACCTTTCCCATCTGACCACTGATCTGGCCAGACCAGTTTTCTTTCCCGCCTCAAAGTGATCATCAAAACCAGTCTCCAGAAGGGTGAGCCTCAAATTTTCCAGAAACAAAGTAGCTAAAACCGGTTTTGATTCATCAGATCAAATGAAATGACAAGGCTCCAGGTATAAAGACAGAGTATTGAAAAATCTTTGAAAGTAAAAGGTTACTTAAGTTTCCAAAACTTCCCTTCAATGTATTTCATTCTTCTTGACTCTATCTTTGACAGCAAAATCATGATTACTTACGCAACTTGAAATATAAATAGCATGTAACTAGTTCTACATGGACCAGATAGCACTGGAGGGAGTGGAATGATATACTAATAATATAGCCCAGAGATCAGGAAAATGAGGCCCAAAGATGACAGTGACTTGCCCAGGCCATATACTTGCTACAAAACACACAGAAACAAACATGCAGGCTCTTATTTTTGGGGGGTACTTGGGGCACTTTTGCTATTTTGTTAGGCTGTCTCTATATGTTGTTGTTTATTGCCTTTGAGTCGAGCACAACACATAGCAACCCTATGAACAAAAGAAAGGCCTGAAGCCCCTCTACAACTATTGACATTTATCAGAGTTCATAGAGTTACCAGAGGCATGTTGTTTAGGAAGTGGGTGCCACTCCTGCTTCTAAGTAGCATATTAAAATAGTTGCTACACTTCCTATTTGACATTATTCCAGTATGCTGTTCCTTCAAGCACCAGACCCACTGTGGTTGAGTGAGTTCTGACTAATGGCAACCCTCCACTGGATTTCCACGGTTTCATCTTTCTCCATCGGAGCAGCTGGTGGATTCAACCTATTGCTCTTGTAGTTAGCAGCCTAGTAACATAACATAGCACACTAATAAGATCCAGGGATCCTATTTCTAGATACAGAGACATATGCGCACACAAACACCAAAAAACACACAAGGAATAACCAGAAATGGAATTATTTTATTTAGTTCCAATGACTACAGATTTTAACTGCAGATTAGTAAATCCAATACTATTCTATGCAGCAATACCTTGAATTACACAGTAAGTCCAACAGTGAAGGAAATGAAGCTTTGTTAAATTTTTTTAGAAATGAAATATTATTACTATTTGAAAAGTATTAACATATATTTGCCCCAATTACCTGGCATGGACAGTTTACCAAGTCCTCTTTTTTAAGAACACAAATAGCAAACAAAATGGCCAACTTGTGTCCTTGTTGGCTGCATGATCTTGAAAGAAATACAAAGAATATCATCACTACTGCCTGAATCATGCTGTGATTAAACATAGCAATAATTACCTTGAAAAATGTAAATACCACTAAAATATGGAGAAAGAAGTTTTGGTAGCACAATGGTTAAGTACTTAGCTCATAACTAAAAAGGTCAGTGGTTAGAGTTTCTCAGGAGCTCTATTGAAGAAAAGATCTGATCACCTGTTCCTGTGAAGAACACAGTCTGTGAGGCAGAGCTACTCTGTCTTAGCAGGTTGCTTGAGTTGGAACTGACTTCATGGTACACAGCATCACCACAACGTGGAGACAAAGAATGATGTTCTAGCAAATGAACAGTGACATCCAGACAGGCTCACAGAGCTCTATGAGCCCTAGGGATGGGATTGGAATGCTTGACCTGAACAAAGATTCTCCAATCCCTGAACTGCTTACTTTGTTAACCGAACATTAATAGTAATAATAACATTTATTGCTATAAAAGAACATTGCTGTTGTTGTTAGGTGCCATTGAGTACAGTACAACTCATAGTGACCCTATGAATAGAGGGTCCAAACCCTGTCCTATCCTGTGCCATCTTCACACTTTCCGACAAACTGGAGCCCATTGCAGTCTCCACTGTGTTCATAGGGTTTTCAGAGGCCTGTTGTTTACAGAGTGGATGGCCAATCCTGTCTGTCTTAATCCCAGTCTGTCTTAATCTGTGAGCTCTACTAAAAGCTGTCCACCATGGGTAACTCTTACGGCATTTGACACACCAGTGGCACAGCTTTCAGTACCACAGCAAATCACAAATTACCTCAGTCCAGCAAACTGACAGACAAGGCTGTACCAATCAGAACAACGTTCTACCCACGCATAATAAACTACTGATTTAATGTGTATCTCTAATAGCAACTGAGTCTTTACATCAGCTCTAACAGGAAACTCTTGGGCAGGACCCCACCAACTTTCAATCACAAAGGCATATAATAGTGTTATCATAATATTAATATGTTAATAATAAAAGTGCAAGCAGAGTGCTTCTTGTAGACAGAGATGAGTAAAACTTTGTCTCACGTGCTTTGAGCATGTAGAGATATCATTCTGAGAAAGTTAAAGGGTCAGGGAAAAAGAGGAAGACCCCCAGTGAGATGGACTGATACAGTGATAACAACAATGGCCTTCAGCATACCAGAGACTGTAAATATAGGGCAAGGTTCAGATGTGTAGTTTAAAGGGTCACAATGAGTTGCTGTCAACCTGATAGCACCCAACACACATGAATGTAGTTTTTAAAAAGTGGAAATATAAGTGTATCTCACACCTATGAAAAGTTGAATTGGCAAAGGTATGTGATAGATAGATAGATGTACCAATGACAAAGAAAGAAGAGCAGATCAAGGTGCTCATATACAATCAAAACCCCTGTGGGATCTGATTTCTTGGTTTGGAGGCTTAAGGTCATAGTTGGTTTTGGTTTTTTTTATGGTGAGAAAAATTTATACTTAGAATTAGCCAGCTGGACTCAGTTTAGATGACCTCAATTTTGTTGGTAACATCCAAAGCATCATAGTCAGGAGTAAGTCAAACATAGGCCTTCTTCTCTCCATCAGGCCTAATCAAAGTGTTGACCTTGGCCACATCAATGTCACAGAGCTTCTTTACAGCTTGATTTGGTGCTTGTTGGCCTTGACATCCACAATGAACACAAGTGTGTTGTTATCCTCTATCTTCATGGCTGACTCAGTGGTCAGGGGAAATTTGATGATGGCATAGTGGTCAAGCTTGTTTCTCCTGGAGGCACTTTTCGGGGGGTATTTGGGCTGCCTTCGGAGTCTCAGTGTCTTAGGCCACCAGAAGGAGGGTGACGTGCAGATCATCTTTTTTTTGGGCTGTGGACGCCCTTCAAGACTGCCTTCTTGACCTTTAATTCCTTTGCTTTGGCTTCATTTTGGGAAGGACAGGGGATTCCTTCTTTGCTTTCAGCGCCACCTTCGTAGAAAAGAAGGTCATAGTTTTATGGGCTATCCAGTTAATAGGTCTGAGAGCATACTGAGTGTTTCTGTTCTATCTCCCACTTCTTTTTGAAGTGCCTGGGGTCTTAATAGTTTTCAAGCAGCCATCCAAGGCACATCAATGGCTCTTTATATACCTGGAGCAGAAGAGGAAGGAGAATCAAGAGTAGTAGGAGGAAATGGGATGTGTGGTTAAGGAGCTGCTTCCATGAGCAAGTGTCTTTTTTAGCTTGAGACCAAAAGAAGGGGATGATGGCTGGCTAATATTATGGAACATTCTGATGAAAATTTGATAGAAGAATCCTGATCAAAAAGGGGCAAATGCCCAAGAGAAATTACAAATCCTCACAGACTGTAGACTTTCTGGAGTCATGGAGGATGGATACATCCCTGCTAGTAATGAGATAATCAATCTATTTAAATCTCAAACAAAAAAAAAATACCTTCTGAAGTCTTCTTATAATAAAACAATAGCTTAACTAGTAAAAATGGCTTACCTTGGTAATTATGCTTTTTGAATAAGTATCTATATAAGATCAGAGGTAACAGAAACTTGGGATCCATAGGGAGTAGTGAGTGTATGGTAATGTATGAAGAACAAGCCAGAAAAGGAGGCTAAGAGTGGTCACACAACTTGAAGAATCCAATCAACAGGAGTACACAAACAACGCCAGTACAATGATTATACATGTTAAAAAACAGGTCAACTGCTGTATGTTTTCCTATGTATATTCTCAAAACAACAAGAATAAACAAAAAAAAAGGAAAAAAGAATTTCATTGTACACCAAAAAAACCAAACAACAGCCATCAGATTAGTTCCGACTCACGGCAAGCTTCCACAGGGTTTCCAAGACAGACTGCCTACCTTTTTGTCACAGGGTAGCTGGTGGATTTGAACTGCTGATTTTTTGGTCTGCAGTTTGATAAGCTAAGCACTAAATTTTCTGGGTTAATCTAGAGTGACAAAACTGTAGATTCTGTCGATTTCATTCAGTTAAACAAAATACCAAAAACATGGGGGAAAATGACAGTCTTTTGTTGATGACTCTTTTTCAACCACTGGTCCAAATAAAGACAGAACTCCAAAGATTTTACTTAATTTAAAATGAACAGTGACCACAATATATGCCAAAAGTGGACTACACTGAAATTTGTAATTCTTAATTTTCTATGTTATTGTCTAAAGGAAAAAAAGTTATATTGAACATCTCTAGATGCTCTATTATTGTTGTTATGTACTGTTGAGTCAAAATCAATTCCTAGCTGATCCTACAGTGAGTTTTCAGAAGGAGAGAGCTGGAGAGGGGACTGTCCATGCTTCTCCCATAGAGCTGCTGGAGGATTCGTACCTCCTGCCTTTGAGTTGGCAGCACAACCCATTGCCACTAAGCCACCAGAGCTCCTCAGGGAATACACAGTACATAAACTAGTAACCACTGTAATAATCTCAATCATTTGCAAAGCATTGATCTCTGAGCAGCCTAATTTTACATATAGTTGGATTTAGAGGAAAGAAAAGATTTAACTAATGCACATTATCATCAACGATAATTTTTCACACTAAAAGCAAGGTTTAAAAATGGCTGATAAAATAAAGCTTTTAAGTACAGAATTTCTAAAATTTTATTTTACAAGAACATCATTACCTGGCCTGGAACAATGGTGTGAGTGAAAAGTTTATTCAGTTCTACTAATTTATTCGGGGTGATGTTAAACTTCAGTGCTATGGAGTTGAGGGTATCCTGGCTTCCCGCCTAGAATAATCAAATAAAAAATATTCATTAAACAAAGAAAAAAATTATTTTTAGACAATATTAATCTACCCACAATATGAGATAAAAGAGCTCCATCTAAGCATATTATGAGAGAGAAAATTCTTGTAATTCTTTTGTGCAAGAAAACCACATAAAAACAAATTCCTCAATACAATTCATGTCTGGTTCTCCGATCTTCAAATTTCACTGCCCAGATATGTTGTTATTGTTATGTGCTGTAAAGTTGCTTGCGACTCATAGCAACCCTATGTACAACAGCACTAAACTCTGTTCTGTCCTGTGCCAATTGCAATGTCTCCAATACACCCATCCAGATTATCCCAGTCACTGAATCAATCCACCTCATAGAGGGCCTTCCCCTCCTGCGCTGTCCCTCCACCCTACCAAGCATGATGTCCCTCTCCACCAACTGATCCCTCCTTACAACATGTCCAAAGTATGTTTGATGGAGCCTCAGAATCCTTTCCTCCAAGGAGCCGCCCAATTTAACCCTCTCCAGGATGAATGTTTGTTTTCCTAGCAGTCCATGGTACCCTCAATACTCTTCTCCAGAACCAAAGCTCAAAAGCATCAACTCACCTTCTATCCTCCCTAGTCATTGCCCAGGCATAGATTTCTTTTTTCTTTTTTGGATGTGTGTGTGTGTGTGTGTGTGTGTGTACCATCAAATCAAATCTGACAGGTATAGGAGGAGCTTGTTCCTCCTTCTCCAGCAGAGGATCTGGTGGATCCAGGTATAGATTTCTAAATGTGCTTTGGCAACACATAGGCATGTAAGGCAGATGTCCATGAAGTATAATAATAATAAAAGAACTGCACAATGAAAAGCAGCAAACAAATACACAGCAATCGGGTAAGTAGAATCAATTTTTATATTCCAATTGTCTGTCTACTTGGTCACTAAATTTTAAACTGAAGGTCTACTCATGGAAGGTCATTTTCTTCAGTGAACATGGGGCTTGACATACTGAGAGCCCTCAAGCACTTGACAGCTGCAAGCATACTGTCGAAAACAAACTGGAAAGAAATTCAGATTGTTGTGGTTGTTGTTAGGAGACATCGAGTCAAGTATGACTCATAGCAACCCTATGAACAATAGCTCTAAGCCAAGTCCTATCCTGTGCCATCTTCACACCTGCTGACACATTAGAACAAGTATTCATTGTTATGAACAATTATTGTCAAATGCAAATGACAATTTTCTATGGACAGTCCAACTTACTATCATTCTCTAAATCTATAAAAGCTGTGATAAACAAACAAAAAAAATACTCTTAAATTTTTTACGATAGAGAAGAGAAAGAGGAGGAGGAGTATTTTTATAACTTCCTAATCAGAAAGCTCTACCCAGAAAGAAGTGTGTTGTCTGTGGTCAGCTTGCAAATCTAAGATGGACTCACCAGATGAACCTGGTTCGTGGTAGGTAACGTTAGTGCATGTGACTACAAGTTCTCATCTACAGTCCTGTGTCAAGACTGCATCAAGCTGTGTCTGTAAGTAGAAATGGCTATGCCAGATGAACTTTAGATTAGGTGGAGAGATGGAGGATGCTGCAGGAAGAGGAGGACTGACTTGGGGAAAGGTAGAGGCACAGAAGTAGAACTGAATGTATCAACCAGCTGAACTGCATCAAACAATACATTATAGTTAAGGGAGAAGTCCTGAGTGGTGCAAACAGTTATCCCTACATAGTTACAGAAAAGTAACTGGCATTTTGTAAAGTAATAGTAAAGCTGGCATTTAGATTAGAATCTAGCAGAGGCACTGAAGAAGAAAATACTGAAGAAGTAATACAATCTGCTTCCATAAAGATAACAGCCAATATAACATTCTGGAGCAGTTCTGCACTGTGGAACATGGGGCCACCATGAGTCAGAGGTGACTCAATGGCAACTGATTACCGTTACAACTAAAGTGGCTTCAAAGTCTTATTTTTCTATTTTTTTTTAATCACTGAAAATGTCAATAAACAATATATGCCTCAACTTCTAGAGTAAGTAAAATCAACTCTTTAAAATGAAAAAAAAAATGTTCACATAGATACTTTCCCCATATCACATATTTATATATTATGTGGTGATTACGTTGTTGTTGTTGTTATGTGC